GTCAATGACTTTATAAAAGTAAAAGCATATTGTGTATTGCCCTATTGGGTTTACACTTTTACAGGTTCATTTAACTTTAAGTCTTTAACTCTCTCAAGTCTCAACAGACAATCGGACATGCCAAATGGGTCATTCCAGAAAACATCCATACCACCCCCACGGAGGAAATAGGAAGTTAACCCCCCTACACCCTTCGGATGTCCTAATACATTTACTATTATCAGAAACAATTTTTTCTCCCCTCCCTCTCAGGACGGAAGAAATTTCCTCCGTGGGGGGAGTATGGATCTTTTCTGGAACGACCCAATCCATTGATATGACAAATTCACAACTTCAAAAAACTTTTTTTTGAAGCTAGAAATCATGATTTTTTTCAAATTTTTCCTGGGGTACTTTGTTTTCTGCTCTCTAGACCCCCCTCGCGGCTCTACTGCTTCACCCCTAGAATATAGACCTTACTGGGGTTTGGTGACACTTTGTGTAGACTTGGATCAAGTCCGTCTCTCAAGAGTCCGAGGGATCGGGTGCGCGAGGGGCAATAACGTGTTTGCGCGCCGCTTCGTGGTGCGCTCGATCTCGTCGCTTTGCGACTCGGACTCTGGAGAGACGGACTCGATCCAAGTCTACACTTTGTGTTGCTTCAGTCACCTGCTCACGGCTCACCCCCCTAAAATTTCTGGCACCACCCCAGTAATAAATATGAAAATCCGTCTATGTCAGGCCATCCAAACACGGAAACCATAAAGTAATTGTATTATAAAATAACAACTTTCCGTGTTAAAATTTCACTTTAAAAAACTTTCATATTAAAATTTTCGTGTTTGGATGGTCTGATCCAAACCACAGAATAGGGTATACAGAAGACCGACTTCTTAGTTTTTCCTATGATTTTCCTATGATTTTGGCGTAAACCGTAATTCGTCATCAAATGCTGACGCCATATTGGGCTAGGCATAGAGATTATAAATAACACTAGAGGAGGCATTGTAATCTTAATTCAGTTAAAAAAGGGAACACAGCTATTGGGGGGCAAATTCAAGTCCCGGATGTGTATTCACGTTCCCATTGGTGACGAGTTTCAAATCAGCCAACGAAAGCACGATTTTATATCCGGGACTTGGATTTGCCCCCCCATTAGCTGCGTTCCCAATTTTTAACCTCAATGCCTCCTCTGGTGTTATTTATAATCTCTATGGGGCTAGGACCATGGCGTCAGCATTTTGATGATGAATCATAGCGTGGCAGCGGTTACTCGAGTCGACCTTCCGTGTGCCTTAGTTATTCTGTGTCCAAACCATTGAACTATAAATA